GTACAAAAGTAGTGCGGGAAAGAGCTTTTTGGAGCTGGACTCAGGACTGGTCAGTTTGTAGTGCAAATGTAGTACGGGAAAGAGCCTTTCAGAGATGGACTCAGAAGTGGCCAGTTTGTCGTACAAAAGTAGTACGGGAAAGAGCCTTTACAGAGCTGGAGTGGGTGTGGCCAAAGTACGTTCGTGATGTCACAGGGCCATTGGGATTTGCGCGGCCTCGGTGACAAGTGCGTTTGCTTGGGGCGTGTCACTGGGGAGCGCAAAACATGCTGGCATAAACGCGGCGTGTCGCTGGTGAGCGGGATCATTGGCGGTATCATGTGATATGTGTGCTTCTAGTGTGTGGCGGACCGTGTGGCCAAGGTACGTTCGTGACGCGGCCTTGGTGGAAAGTGCGTTTGCGTGGCGCCGTGCCACTGGGGAGCGCGAAACATGCTGGCGTGAACGCGGCGTGTCGCTGGTGAGCGGGATGATTAGGGGTATCGGTATCATGTGATATGTTTGCTTTCAGTGTGTGGACAGACCGTGTGGCCAAAGTACTTTCGTGATGTCACAGTCCCATTGGGATTTGCGCGACCTTGGTGGCAAGTGCGTTTGCGTGGCGCCGTGCCACGGGGGAGCGCGAAACATGCTGGCGTAAACGCGGCGTGTCCAGAGTGTCCCAAAAGAGTGCCCCGCAAGAGCTTCCTACAAGAGTGACCCACAAGAGTGTCCTACGAGACGGCTTGTCGCTGGTGAGAGGGATGATTGGTGGTATTATGTGATATGTTTGCTGCTTTTATGTGGCGGACCTCTTCAGCGTAGGGCTGACACAGCGACGCACCAAGGTTGGCGCTCCTGAGCCACAACGTTGCGCTGCCGCTTCATCTGCGCATTGACGTCTACCCCCCCTCACCTTTGTACACACACAGACATAGAGACACACATAGACACACACACACACAGACCCACACACTTGCTCAACACCTCACACACATCTCACATTCTAACTTCACACGTGGTGAAAAATGTTTTCGGGCCACCCGTCGTCTAGTTTAAATGGTGTGTGTTTCTTTTTGAGATGGTTCAGAGCTTCATGGTCTGAGGCCGCTGCTGTCTCCCCCCCATCTTCCCAGCCTCGCAGCGTGCACTTTCAGGACATTGAAGCATGTTCTGAGACTTCCGCACCCAGCATGCCCATGGCATGCTTGGTTGCAAGGACGCTACTAGGGGCTCCTTGCATCGCTACTAGGAGCAAGGACGCTACTAGGGGCCCCTGGCCTCACTACTAGGAGCAAAGACGGTACTAGGGAGTTGCTCGTCGTTTTTTCTCTTTGCCCGTACCCCGAATTCCAAGAGGAGCGGTGTCTCTTGAAAACCCAAGACCGCTCCTCGCTCCTCGCCTAGGCTTCGCACTTCTTCCATTTTTGCGAAATCTGAAGCGACGAAAAGATTTGCCTGTGAGCAAGTTCTACCTGTCACAATCACTACTAGGTTGGAGGCCATCGTTACTAGGTTGGAGGCCATCGCTACTAGGTTGGAGGCCAGGGCTAGTAGGTTAGAGGCCATCGCTTTGTTTTTCTGCCTGTCACACCTCGATGCCTTTTGTGCGTCCAGGAAGATCTCGATTCATTTGCCCGATCAACACGAGAGGCGGGGCCGAATATTAATACAAAAGAAAGACACGTTTGTTCTAAAGAAGAAGGGAAAAAGACTTGGTTAAATGGAATTGTACTTCCTACTCGACTGGTGATCTTCAAAACACACCTTGTCCTCACTGGCACTTCTAGAAAGTTGCAAAAAATGCAAGGTCTTGTTGCATACTTTGTTTGTGGATGCTGATTGTCTGCTTTTGTTGGCATTACAAACGGTAGTGATTGATTTTTGCTTTAATTTGTCCTCATGTTTTTTGGACCTTAAGACCGGTTATGTCCCCTTGTGTTTCTTCTTTCTGAACCCAAAGAAGAAGATATGAAAACAATTTGTTTCTTCAGATAGGAGCAAGAACGCTACTAGGGGCTCTTTCTTTTTGCAAAGTTGGGACACTTTGAACTTTCTCCAGATGGTGATGTCTCGCCAGTGTGGCCCTCGGACGGAATGGGATCGATGTTTTCGTGATGCTTGGTTTGGAATCGTTGTAAGCAACTTATTTGCACTTTGTCCTACTATCTCTTGTCAGGAAACCCTTTTTAGAAGATGCCTTTTATTGGCATTCAGAGGCCTAAAGCGAAGAGGCCTCAAGAAAAGAAAAACCCGTTTAAGAAAGACCACCAGATTTAAAGACAAGGAGAACGCTTTTGAAGCTGCATGTTTGCCCTGTTACCTTAGCCAAACAGGAATGCTCTAAGGTTTCAGGAAGGCTCTGTTATTGGAACACGTTGAGCTCCTTTGAGGCGTGCGCGGAAGGAACGCAAGGAGATGCTGGATAAGGCCGGGCACAGTTTTAGTTGCAGGCTGTCAAGCTGCTAGCTACATTTAGAAAAAGAAAGGGGAATCAAGAAGCCAAAAGCAAAAAGCTTTGAAAGAGTAGCGGCAACTGCTGTGACATGTTTGACCTCAGAGGCGATGAGGGAGAATGCGCGGTGAAAGAACTGACATGAAAACTAGGTCTGACACGGGTCTGACAGATAGTTGGCCGGATCCGACCCAACTGAGACTTCACTTGGAAGTTTATCTCAGCTGAGATGCATTGCGATTTCTCGTAGCCTGCCCAGCAACGACTTACAGGACGAAAGATGACGAAAGCCACAAAGCAATGGTTATGAAGGAAGAAAAGAAACAAAAGGTAGACTTCTTCCTTTTTCTTCGCTTGATGTTGTTGTTTCTCTTTTAAGACTTCTGATTGAAGGTGTTTCTTCTTTTGTGTTTTTTGGCGCTTCGCCTTCCTTGTGCGAGGTGACCTTAGGCTTCCTTCTTCCGACCAACTTCATAAATTCTGTCATTTCTTGAATTTTGTATGTTGTGTTTTTAGAATGAAACTAAAGAAAGTCTAAAGCTTCCAAGAGAAAAGGAAACTAGAAGGTGTTTGCTTGGCTTGTGGTTTGGAAAGACATTTCTATTCTGATTGAGCCTTTCCATAAATCATGTCCTTCTTCCAGGTGTCTTGATTGGCGAAGTTGTTCGCCTTGTTCATTCATGTACGAAGCGGGTCTCAGCATTCGTCGAGGATCCGTTTTTTGTCGGCTGCCAAAGGCAGTTCCACCAGGGGTGAGGCCGGGTGTTGCATCGGCAAAAGTAGCTTCTTGTTCCGTTCGTAGTAAGAATGCTCCTAGTAGCGATGCCAGGAGCCCCTAATAGCTTCTTGTTCCTAGTAGTAAGGCCAGGAGCCCCTAGTAGCTTCTTGTTACTAGTAATGGCCTCCAACCTACTAGCGATGGCCTCTACTCACCTTCCCCCTGGTCTTTAGAGGAATTAGATGCCGTTGCAGAGGACGGAAACCTGACCATTTCCTTGGACGAAAAACCGAAAAAATTGTGCAAACTTTAGAAACAATGTTCGCTACTAGGAACAAGTGCATCGCTTCTAGTAACAAGTGCCTTACTAGTAGTAACAATGTTTGCGAACGTAGAAACATGTGCAGTGTTCGGTCTCGGGTTGCCGTCCGGTGGGGTCTCACGCCCCGCTCCGTTTCGTCACAAAGCCCTTCTTTTAGGAAGGATGGAAAGTCTGTCACGCCAAGACGAGGAATCGTCTTGGGTGCGATGGTAGAGAATATATACAAAGAAAGAAAATGGTAGAAGAAAGCAAAAAATCTCATTTCTGTTTGGTACTCTTTTTCCTGGAAATGAATTTCTGAATAGTAGACTTTTCAGGTGTTTGAAATTAGCAGATCGAGGATGTGATGGGTTGGAATTTGCCACATGGTAAGGTTCGATGGAGCATACCCCAGCATGAGCTGCAAAAGACATGCACAGCGCTCCTCAATGACCCTGAAAGTCTGATCCAAACCTTTGAGTGTTCGGCATGTTTGCCACAAAGAATTTCTTTGTTCTGTGTACGAAGCTGGACACTTGAAGACTAGAAACAGGGAAAGCCACTTTTTGATTAGAGCTAGCTTCGATTCTTGTTTCTGAGCGTCGTCCTTAAATCTCAACCCAATCTGGGTCGTACAGATTGACAGTCCGGTCATTGAGGCAGCCTTTGCAAGTCATGCCATCCATAGGATTGCAAGACCCCAGCAAACTGCAAAGTTGCCGCAAAAAAAAGCAAAGGCTCTGACCGAAGCACAATTGAACCACGTGGTGCTTGGCACTTTCTAGTGACATTGTGGGTTTGCCTGCATATTGTGTCCTGTTCAAGCTTTGGTAATGCTTGAGTGCGTTGCTACCGATATGTGTAAAGTAAAAGGCTTCAGAAATCTCAAGTTTGGATAAATCAAACACTTGGTGCTCGTTACAAGAACGTTTGGCTCGTGTTGAAACGTTTATTGGTTTATTGCGGTTTGGCAAACTTGTGCCATTGCTAGTGGGTTGGAGGCCATCACTATTTTTCATCATATGGTGGTCTTTGTGCTCAAGGAAAGGCATTGGACACTTGTGTCACCATGCAGCGGTCTCTTGGGCACGAACTCATCGACACACTCCCAAAGGACTCCGAATGATTTGGTCACATCCAGAGTCGTTTTGTACCGTTAATCCTTTAACGGAAGGAAAAGATGTTAATGCTTGATGAATTACAGGGGCATGCTTACTAGACTAAGCTCCGTTTAGTAATTGCTTCTCTTTTAATGACAACTGTTCCTTTCTTAACTGCAAGAAAGCATTGGAGAGTCGATGTTCACCTGAGGTCACTGACGCTTTTGGCCAAAATGGGCCCTAGCAAGGGCCACGGCCCGCTGAACACCAAACGGGCACCGAGATTGAAGAAGGGGTCTGGGATCTCAGAATACGAAGACATGGGGTCTACGCAAATTCTACCTTGTGAGCAATAAGCAAAACAATACATGTGATTCATGTTCAAAAAAGAGTCATGTTTACTCAGTTTACTCCTTATGTCTTTCCAGAATTGTTTGTTCTTTCCTTTGGAAAGTTTCTCCGTTCCGTTTCTTTCTTCGCTTTCGGCACCAGATACGGTGCAATTGGCCTTGGACGACACACGAAGAAAGGCTCTGCAAAAGCGTCGTGCACGATGCGCCATGCCCGGTGATCACGATGGCCGATTGAAGCATTGGATTCCTTTGAAGAAAAAGATAATAGCGACGTCCTCCAACCTACTAGCAATGACCTCCCAACCTACTAGCGACGGCCTCCAACCCCATAGCATTGGATTCGTTTGAAGAAGAAACGGTTGTATCCGTATGTTTGTTCGTTGCTTTGTTTCTGCCGTGCAGGATGTTGCCGAAAGGATGTCATTTTTCTTGTATTCTTATGCTTGCACCTTTTGTTCTCCAGGCTTCTTCTTCATCAACCCAATGCTTTTTCCGATCTTGAAGGTGGGGTGTAGCGCAGACGGAAAGGAGGTGCAAGAACACATTCTGCAAAACATGAAAGACATGAAGGAGGACTTTGTTGAAGACTGTTCTGTTGATTTTCTTTGGCATTGCGAAAAGTGCTGTGTCTTTGGCACGAATTGCAGGTGCCCGACCTCAAAGATTTCGAACTCAAGCCGTGCCGTCGAAAACAGGGGAGACCAGCCAGATGCCTCGACAGCATTCGTAAGTGATGTCCATGACTTCCAGCAAGCAAGGATTGCGGAAGAATTTGATGGTTTTCGTAAGGACAGCACCTCAGACGACCAACCAATGCATACATGGGGAGGCTTCAATTCTTCAAAAAATTTTTTAAAAAGTTTAAAAAGCAATGTTGTTGCATTGTTCCTCAGATAGTGACGGCTGTGGGGTTCTTACTTCAAATAAGAATGAACTGGCTGTGTACGTTTTCGAGACGCGCGGTGCCTACAATTGTCTTTTGCAACCTGGGGTCTATGCTGGCATAATTTGTACATTTCCCCAGATAGTGCGAGCTATTGGGGTTCTTACTTCGATAGGAAGAGATGCCTGTGTGCGATTTGGAGAGGTGATCTGATAGTGATGGTGCCACGGTGCTGGTGCCGCTGCCAGATGAGTGGTGGTGCCGCTGGAGGGTGCTGTTGCAAGATGTCCGCTGTGTGCGCTTTTGAGGGATCCTGGTGCCACTGCAGCGTGATGCTGCCACGGTGCTGTCCACAAATAACATGTTTGCTATTTGGGATCTATGCTGGCGTAATATATTGTTCAGAGTGGCATTGCTGCGCTGTTAGATAAGTCTTTATATGTTTCTTTCTTCCTTTGCTTGCTATTAGCAGGTTCGTCCCGAATGGTATTTGTCTGTTTGCACCGAGGGTTTATCAATAGTAGTGCTGCCCTCGGTTCATTGAGAATGGACATGTGCGAACTCAATTTCGGGAGGTTTGAATTTGGCAACTTACGCAGGCAGGCGTGGACCCCCAAGAGGTGTTTTTTTGAAGTCCAAAATAGAAAATACTGTAGATGTTGGGAAATAGATTCATTGTGGCACCCATAGTGAAGGCTAGCTTTGAACCATGGCCAGTTGCAGCAATAGAGTTGTCGTTTGCCCAAGCTGTCCCCCGGAAGAGATCAAGCTTCTCAGAGAACACGCGGCGCCAGACCAGGTACGTCTCACGGAACACGCCGGTCATCAGCAACGCGCCGCTCCGACGATGTATTCCGAGCTGCTCCCTCTCCTGACTCTAACAAGAATGCTCAAGAATGCTAGTAACGCCTTACATTTGGGATGCCAAAGGCGCATTTGGAATGCCTCAGCAAGAACACTGCTGTGTCTTGAGGCTGAGGTGCTTGGACGCATGAGGTTGCTGTCAAAACACCCCGTGTTTTTGGAACCTGTTCAAGCTAATGGGATATGCTTTTTGAATATGTTTTAATATGTTGTTCCTTTCATGTTCCTTCAGATCTTCAGATCATGTTGATTTTTCATGTTGAGAATTTTTGAATCTGCGGAGCTTGTTACCAGCGTGCCCAAGAGTTTTTGCCAGGCATCCATACTGGAAGACTGGGAAGTTGGGTGCCCAAATGATGGTAGCGTGACCGTTTGCACCATGCCATGGCTGTTCAAAGCACTGAAAGAATTGGGCTTCCTCTGGGCGTCTTTTTAAGAATGGAGCAAGGATGCTACTAGAGGCTCCTGGCCTTACTACTAGGAACAAGAGGTAGCTACTAGTAGCTATTTGCTCCTACTAGCAATGCCAGGAGTTCGGACGCTACTAGGAGCAAAGGGCATCCCTGTGCATCTCTTGAGCTCGTCTCAGGTTTCGCCCCTGAGCGCCGAAAAGACCGAGTGCCGTTGCTTGTTCCTTGTCTCTGAGTCTTTGAGAGCCTGTGAAAGGAGCATGTTTCAAACAGAAAGAGCTGACGAAGGATCTTTAAACATGTGGATTTATATCTCAGATATCTCCGGTAGTGACCTGTTTAAGGTTTAACCTTTGCAACCTTTGTGCAGAGTTGATGAGTTTTTCGGAGGCACACCTCACAGAAAATCGTATGCTTTCATGATGAAAGTGACATGAAAAGACATCTGTCCAGATTGTCAAAATCCAGCACTGTTCCTTTCGTTCTTTCTCTTTAGACCTTTTCTTCCCTTTTTCTTTTTGTTTTTTTCTCTAACAAGAAGCTACCGGTAACAAGTGCATCGCTTCTAGTAACAAGTGCCTTACTAGTAGTAACAAGGACGCTACTCTGTGTCTTTTCTTTGGACCGAAAGTACACTCCTTCGCGTGATCGACTCCATTGACCGCCTGCAGCGCGTGAAGGGCTCGACCTGTCAGACCCGCCGTCGCGTCGCGTCAATGGCAGGGCAGTGACGTGGCCGCAGTGATGCGAAGGAAACGTCCATCCTTTACAATCCTTCTTGTTTTTTGTGGAATCATGTGTATATATATATATGTGTGTGTGTTGTTTTTTTTCTTCTTTTGCTCAGCTTTTTGCTCTGGACCTTTCTTTATTCCTTTGATGGTGACTTACGAACCACAGTTGGAAATAGCAATCGGTTTGGACACCGGAGGGATTTCTCAGACCCATTGCTGCCTGGCACAGAAAGTAGGCTGCAGACTCCAGATTTGAAGGTGAAACAAGGATTCTTGAGCAGTCAAGAGTTCTTTCTAAGAGTTTGGTAAGAATCGTAAGATGTTCTTGTTTCTTTTTGGTTGATCCCTTTTTGGTTAGATTTCCTAATTTTTTGCACAACAGTACCAATCCGGTAGGCGTCTTAAAAGCTTAAGCTAGATAAATGTCGGATTTTGCCTTGGGTTCTGCAAGAACATCATCTCGTTCCTGGTGGGCTACTGACAAAGTAGCTAACGAGTAGCTAACTGGGTGGCTACTAAGTTAACAAGTATCTTCGAAGGGCTCAGGCTTCAAGAAAGTTTCTCCAGAAGAAGTAGCTTCCTTGAAGCCCCGAGCCTCTATGAATTTGTTTCCCTAGATTGTGGGAAATCAGAATCTATTTCGCTCCGATCCAAACTTTCCCCCAGGTACTTCATCCATCCTCCATGCGAGCGCAGCCCCTAAGAATTCGTTGCATTTCGCACTGAAAAGAATCGGACCTGAAGCTGGTGAAGTACCAAAGCAAAAACAGCATGCTTTGATGGATCTCTCAGCAATGTTTAAAGAGTACGAACTTGTTGGCAAGTAACTTTCTTTCTTCTACTTCACTGCTTGGCCAACCAAGGTCACAAGAAACTCTGTCAAATCCATACATCTCAGGCACAAGTTCGTGTATTTGGGAGTTCCAACTACTTCTTGCTGTTTTTTGCAATTTTTCTGGTGACTTTCTGTGTAGTAGAGCTTGATCTGAACAAGTGCATTTTCCGAGCCCTGTCAGCTGATCCAGGAGAATTCCAACCGAAGCGAAATATACTAGACCTGTCTTCCTTTTCTTTTTTCTTTGTTTCTAATAGCGATGGTCGGCGATGGCCTCCAACCTTATGTTCC